TGACTGTGGAAGTCAACAGGCACTCAGAAGCCCTGAAAGTGAGAATAAGCAATATTTTCTAATATTTTTCAAGTTCATTAGTTCAGGGGTAAAATTCCCTGAGAGACAGAAAAACAACAAACCCGTTTTCTTTGATGGAAAGATGTTTGTCAAGGGATATTGCCAACATACAGCCATAAAGACTGAAGAACAACAGTACAACAGAGCAAGGGAAGCAGTCTGTAATGCTAGGCAGTAAGGAATTTGTGAGCCAGCGTGGGACTTCACCAAAGCTGCCTGCTTGCAAGAAAAGGGGACAGCAGAAATATATGCAGAGAGACAAAGCACAAGATATGTACATGCTAACCTTGCCATTAAGATGGGAAAGGCTTCTTTAGTATATGTCAAAAACTATAACCCCACTTAATTATTAGCAGTATACAAGTGACCTCAAGAGTTGAGCTATAAAAAAACCAAAATACTGCACCCTAATTTCAAAGTCACCACCAAGACATCACTTGACACCTCTAGATTAAGAGACACAGATCCATATATATTTTGTGTTGGTTGTTGTCAGTGCAGAACTGCTAAGCTATGAGTGTTGAATAGACGAGGTCACTGATTCTCTGGGATCTGGAAACTGATCTCAGAAGCCACATGCCTCCAACCTTCCACCTCAAGTCCCCGAGCTGCTGCTGGACATCAAAACAGCTCTTACAGCTTCTAGTTTTTATGAGTCATACCCCAGCAGGGCCCTGCTCTTTGCTACATGCTGCGACAAAGGTCCTGACTACATCCTCTTCCTTAAGCCTATGGTGCATACAGAAGCTGCACCACTGAATTGGGACACTGTGCTGATTTTTCGATGCTATTTAACATGTAGGCAGCTCAAGCTAGCTAGATAAACATAAGCTCACCCATACTGTTCCCTAATCTGAACCTTCAGAATAGTGGGAAAAATGGCAGTACTTCCAGGTTTTTGAAACATCCAAAGCATTAAGAAGCCTGTTGTATCTGAAAAACAGGTATCAAGCACCACAATAAGCAACACCTGGAGAAAAGTGTGGTATAAATGGTGAAAGCAAGATAAAGCAGGCTACAGTCTAAAGATCTAATCCTAAAGGTTAATATGTGTTTCACAACCAGTATACTTCAAATCTATGATCAGCTACAGGTTTAGAACTATTAGCAACTGGAGTTTTAAGAGCAACCTTTAGGTTCTGACCTAAAGATCTATAAATTACCACTACGGAGGGATGATCTATTTTGAAATCAGATTATCTTTAAACTAACTAGAAAGCAATCCTCATGCTTATGTGCAGCCCTCATGCTAGCCACACTTGCTCAAGAGCAGGGCAGGACTCTAAAGAACAGATGTTGATAGCATGTGCCCTGTGCTATTTTAACATTCAATTTCTTTAGATTAATTATGTTGCTTCCTTAAGCAAATAGTAATTAAGCCAAGCTACCCCAGCCCCACTTCAGCCCCAGTGTTATGTGCTTAGTTTACCACAAGAGGAGTAGCAAGTTCTCAAAGATTTGCTGATGTGTTACTTTACCAAAAGGCAGGAAAACAGCAGCTACAGGGGAAGAACATACCACTTTTGCCAGCAAGGCATTCTCCAGTGTGCTTATCCTGAGGACAAGACACAAACTGTCACAACTTGATTTGTGACAGTTTTCCCTCAAAAAGAATGTTGTATCAGTGCACTTGTTCCACACAGGGATGTGCTGTTTTATGGAAGGGCTGCTGTTCCAGTTCTCTAAATGGATTCTCCAGACTTCAGGCTTTTGCCCTAGATTTAGGTCACTAGTAATTGGACACGTGTGGAAAATGCACAGGCTCAGTTCAGCGTTGCTTAATTAATTTCTTAGTCTGTTGATTTGGCAGTCATCCTACAAAACAGAACAGTTGGATATTTAAACTTGCATTGAAGAATACATCATGACAGTAGCTAGCCTCCCAAAACTAAGCCCAGCTTCTTTGGTACTAGTGAAATAAGTATTTTAAATTGCCTGGAGTACAAAGTGAAATCAGTCTTAGTTGCTCAGGTGAGACTATCTGCTTGGTTAATCAAAAGGAATAATTTCTCTTTTATAGCATTCAGGTGGGAAAAAAAGACCAACTATAGCACAAAACGAAAACCCAAAGATTTTACCACAACCTTCTCAAGATGAAACATGGAATGGACAAATGCTTAAATCTTGCAACCAATGGAGCAGAATCAACTATAGCAACTTTGAGACACATTCCCAGGCAACTGGTGAGTGCAGCAACTACACATTAATGCTGCAGCTTTAAAGAGAAATGATTCTGCACATTATTTGGAGCTGTACCAGGCACCTTTCAGTATTGTAGCTGCTCTTGAAGCTGGATTTTCATGATGAAGAAAAGCTCATCTACTGAAATTAAGAATTAAAATTCTTTTTGCTCCCCGAATGCTTATGCCACAGTTTAGTCAACTTTGCTTGCTGTTTTTTAAACCCTTCTTTGAAGGACACAGAACAGACCCAGTGTGCCAAGTCTTGGCCATCCTGCCAAGCTTCCTGTTGGAGCTCACTTCACTACCAACTATTTACTTCACCACAAGTCCCATGCGCTTTAGGTAGTTTTGGCTTAAGTCTGAACAGCAAATGAGAAGAGACAGCTGCCTCTCTGCAGGAACTTTTCTCACTGGTGACCCTGAGGGCTGAGTTGGCAGAGCGATCTGGACTTTTTAAAGAAGGCTGCTCTACAAAACTGCCTTATAAAACTATTCACATATTAACTGAAGTTAAATATTTACTTCAGATCATGAAGTATTGTATTTTTTGATGAAGGAACAGCTTCTGTTCTTGAGCAAACTGATTTATGGCATTTTAAAGCTGACCTAACGTGCCTACCTCGATTTAAAATAAAAAGGCATCCCAATTCCTTTTGTTAAAGAGTGAACTCTGCTGATAAAATGGCCTGAAGACAGAAATAAAGTCACTTTAACAGCACTGAAAGGGAACAGATCTTCTCTTTAAAAGCCTTGTATACAGGGGTACTCAGATGGTTGCTAAAGTAAAAACAACATCCAACAATATTTGCAAAAAAGCTTAATGTAATTTTTTGAGTCTATAAACTCTAAACAATAAATACGAGAAGTGTACATGGCACACCAGAGCTGCTAAATATTAAACCAGATAAGTACAAATTGATAGCGCTTACCTACATCATCAGTGATAAATTCTCACTACTGTGATACAACACAAGATCAACATACAAGATGTTTTTTTCCAAAGGAAAAATCACGGAATCAAGTTGATACAGGAGATGAGGGAGAAGGGAAGACAATAAATAACAAGGCACAAAAAAACCTCTCTTGCTGCAACCCTGTAAGGCACCACTGTGCAAATGTGAAACTATCAAAACCTGTAGTGGAGAAATTTTAGATGTGTTTAAGTGATTGGATAATGTATTTCAAAGATGACACTATGCTCCTACCTTTGAGAATAAAAATACTTACAAACCTTTATTTACATTTATAGGCCTTTAAAAAAAAAAAAACAATTAGTGAAACAGGTGAGTTAATACTCAAACACAGGAGTAACAGTTAATTTCTCCTAGACAGTTTCACAAGTGCAACTTGAGCATGACCTCTACTGGCCTTGTTAATAAAGTCCTGGCTCCAATATGGTGCAGAGGGAAATGCTGCCAATTATGTCCAATTGTTTGTGATGCACCAGTAATTTTAACAAAACAGACTTCAGGGATTAGGATGAGAATAAACTTGTTCTCGCTTGTAACTGACAGTGATTTAAATCCAGAGATAAAAGGTCAGTAGCATTAATCTAACGTCATAGCTATAGATCTTAATACCCAAAGTTATAAATTACACTTCTATTTAAGAACTGGGCACTAGCATTTTTCTTCCCTATTCTGTTATCTGCTCAGAGAATCCATCATGGGACAAGCTTCAGCAAAAACCTTCTCCCTTACTAGGTTCCAGATAAATAGTTAAGCTTACAAACTCTAAGTTTCTCCCCTTTTTTCTTATGCCCCATGATCTCTACTGCATCCTGCTACAAGTTTTTATGCTTTCTCCAATGACATAAAAATCTCAACTGTTCTCAAATGGCTTAAAACATGCACAGGTTGGACAAGGTTTTACACGGTGAGAAGACGATTTCACTAAAACCTAAAGTTTTCTTCTAAGGAAAGATTTAGGAGGCACTCAGCTTCTCATGAGCTTCAAATACACAAATGGCTTTTTTTGTACTTGGGAACAATGTCAGTAGAGACTACACTTCCAAAACTTTTGCTTCCATTCTCAAAACTTGAACTGCACAGCACACAGTAAACAATCTGAATGAACTTGCTAATTCAGTTATTGGCTAGGTTTTGTTTTCTTATGTGACACATTTTACTCCTTACACTTAAATACCTTGCCACACATCAAAACACTTAAGGTCAGACACAACCTGTAGCTTCAGTGATGTGCAATCTACTGAGCTGCCAGAGAAGAAAATCAGGTCTATCACATTTTAAACAATAGAGGAACTAGAAGAAAGAACAGTCTTCGGTGCTAAGTTAACATTCATACAGCTATTTGCCAAAAGGCTGTGCCAGCTTAGGCATGCTTCATTCCTGTTTCAAGGAAATAATTTGAGCAAATACAAATGTAAACAGAGCCAGGTAAACTGCAATAGTAAAGGACAAAAATATCATTGATCTGACAGGTTTAAGGCCAACTATTTCTTATTTGAAACATATATTTTTCCATGGCACTTAATACACTAAAAATTAGTACTGGGTGACAGTAAACATGGGTATACATATTCATGTCATATGCAATATATACAAGTCGCTTCAGTTCCTAAGATAGAAAGTTCAAGTTTTCTTGCCCAAATAAAATCAATCTGTGAAAGACCACCTGTGTTTTCCTATACAGGACAAAGTAATATTACTATTTCAACCAATTTAGTGCACACTGACTTGAGTCCAAAAGACATACCATTCCTTGCTGTTGTCACTGCTTGCCAAACGCCCTTATGCTTTTTAAAACACAGCTACACTTTCCTTAAGAGAACAGCTAACACGTGACAATCAGCATGCTGTTCTAGTCTACTCTAACAAAACTTGCTGATATACAAATCGTGTTTTGGTCATGCAGCACAGATCCATCCTCAAAATAATCCATCTCTTAGTTCAACCAGTCTAGAAGAGGAACCCAGTGCTGGATTTTAATTAGCAGGTCATCCTGGCCACCCCGTACTCCAAGCTGACAACAGCAGGCTCAGCTTTTGAGTACTCTTCCACCAGTTCAGTGTAGCGATTGTCTGCTGTGTTGCTGCCCTCTATAGTTCTTGCAGCATCGTTCACAGGGATCAGAGGCTGCTCCTTCCTGAAGCATGGAGGGGTCTTCAGTGCCACGGGGGCAGGATGAACAGACTGCTGATGTTCCTTCACAAAGACTGCATCTGGCTGCCCATTTCTCTGCTTTATTTTCTGAAATATAGAGCATAGTTACTAACAGTGAGCATAACTTGTTTACTGATAATGTTCTGCTTTGAAAGGAAATGAATCCACTTCTTTTGGCTGGCCAGCTCAGCGCTTGCAGAACCCTGCATTACATATCCTAGATTAGATATGTAACAGTATTATTAAATGTTAAGCCACTAGATAAGACATTTTCCCCCACAGTTTCCAGCAGATGCTACAAGCACTGTATACTTAAAATCTGCAGATAAGCAGAAGGCAGAAAGTTTGCCTGCCAATGTCTGAAGAGGAGAAGTTCTTCCAGGCTTGCCCCTTGTTGGTTGCTATCAAGATGGCAGTGCTTTCTGGAGTACAGGCAGAGGAAGATAGGCCTTGGTACCTTTAGCAAGCAGGGAGCTTACAATAGACCATAAGTCTCTTTACCTTTAAGAGACCAGTTTCATACTTAAGCCCTTGCATCCTTCCTAAAAACCTTCTAGAAGACTTCTCCTTTAGATCTGAAAAACACCAACGCAGTTTCTTCAAATGTGGAAATACGCTAAAAAATGTCAACTAGAAAGCAGGACTGGAGAAGATGACTTATCCTGCAAGCACTGACCAAAAGAAGAAGAAAGATTTGGATTAGGGGTTTTTGTTGCTTTTCCTAAATTCAATCTCATCCAGTAACTGAGAGCTTGAACTAGTTAAGTGATTTTTTGTCATTGTTGATATGTTTGTGCTGCATTAGAACTGAGACTAAGCCCAGAAGACTTTGGTGTCTCCTGACATCAACTTTTTGAAGAGGCAAAGAGCAGTAGCAAAGTCTACACCAAGACTTCAAACAACTACATCCCTTCACCACTCAAGTGAAAAATTCAGGCTCAGGTGAAGTAAACATCCTGGAAAAAAAGGACTAGAAAATGCAAACTGAGACTTCACTTTAACATCTTGCTTATTCTTCAGCTTGCTTCATCTTGAGTTTCCATCTTGCTGCTTCAGTTGTGTGAAAACTTCTAAAACTACAATTAACATTTGAAACAGTTTAATCTTCAGTGACCTGCATTCATGACCTTCATGACCTTACAGTAAGATTAATAAAATCTTTCCTCCTAGAAAAGCTGTACTTCCACCCCACTCCCTTGACATAACATGCAGGAGTTGTGCTACTATTTCTAGCCAAAGATGCAGAACTGATAACTAGAGACCTTCTGTGTTTCTTAAAAGTTATTATTTTGAATTTTCAGCACCTGAACTGACCATAATGATGTATCAATTAAAAGCCACTGATTAAGTCATACTAGAATAAAGTGCCATACATAGTTCAGTCTTTCCTGGCTGTTTACTGTACCACTTAGTAGAGGCATTTCTAGAAATGTGATCTCTGGATATAACCCTGTCTTCAAATAACCATTACAATGCATATGCCCCATAATTATGGTGACTTAGAACAGCATGCACCTGCATATAAAGTTAAAAGAAGGACAATACTTACTGCTTCCATTTTAGTAGCTATAACAGAAATAAAACATTTTCAGTCTCCTTGGTAGAGCAACACAGCTGTAGCTATGATGGGTACCTTGTTATCTAAGTTTCACATTACATTTAACCCACACTAAGCCATCTTAAAGTAATGCTTTGATAGTAGGAGCATTTTTACACAATACAGTTCAACGGTAAAGCAAAAAAAATTGTGCCCAAGAGCACAGCCTGGCTGTGAGGTCTGGCACTCAGCACAGAAACATACAGTGAAAGTCAAAGTCAACGTTACATAGAAGTGCCAGGTCATGCAGTAGTGACATTCATGTCAAAGCTAGTAGCATTCCTACAGACTACAGATGAGACTTGCTCTTCCAGTTCACAAGTACACACACTTATTTTGTAATACTTACAGCTTCCAGTTCTTTAATGTCTTCCTCCAGTTGTTTATTTTGTTCACTCATGTTCATTATAAGATTGAACACAGACTGCCTGGGATGCATACTTCGATCAAACTGATGGTACATATTTCTCCAAAACCTGCATGAAGCAGACTGTTAACTACGCAGGACAAAAACAACAATGAAGAAGAGCTACTGTATATAATTTACACTTACTTAAAATTAAATGATACCGTATTAGGTTCCAAAAGAGTTAGTTCTGGAGAGAAGTCTGGATTATACAGAGGATTCTGATATTTCTTTTGTTCATCCAGAAGGAATGGCCACAAGGAATATGTCTTCTCTCTTAGTCTTAAAGCAAGAAGAGATCAAGGTGAAGACACTGACTGCAAGCAAAAATCAGAAGCTGTTCAACTCAACGTAATAAATTGATCTTAAATTTTAAAAAAAGTTACCAGAAATACTTAAATATTGAAGTAAAAGCTCTTAGTAAAAGCAACTCCTCCTGCCATACGCTAATGTTGGATAGAACTGTCTGTTTCAGAAGTACTACTCCTTATGCAAGTTTTGCCCAGTTGCAATAAATGCTTTTAAAATACAGTTTGAGACAAAGACAAACAGATGAAAACTGTACAGAAGTTTTCCAACTAAAAGCACTAGGAGACATTCTATTAATACTTCTAACTGACAGTAATTATTCTTGAGCAGGCAAGAATTTTAAGGTTACCTAACAATAGATTGTTAGGTAATAGATTGGGGAGGTAATAAAGTGATACTTCCAAACTTAAGCTTACCTATTTTTAGGGGAAAAAAAAAACAGGAGAAAGAAGCCTTAATCTTCCCCATGAAAAACAAGCATGGGATTATCTCCCAGAATTAGAAAGACTGTCTTCAGTATGCAAAAGCACAAGAAGCACTGCTGTTCCCTGATCCAGCTCAACATTTTCAGTACTACCTAGCCCTCTCCATTTCTGTTTAGAGCCCAAAATGAAGAAGACTCACAGGAGTTCTTAGTCTTCCAGAATAAACAAAAGACATTACAGTATGTCTGCTTACTTTAGTTCTTCTCGCTCTTTTTGGCAGTTTCCAAGGAAATTACCAAACTGGCACGAATGGACGTGTTCATGGATCTGAAGCAGGAAAGCTTCATTGTACTCAAAGGCTTGTGGAAACTGCTCAGTCAGATTCCACACACTTTCTAAAAACTGGGTGAACACTGGCGAGATTTCTTTTGGATCACCATCCAACTGACAACACCTGAAAAGATTCCATAAGAAGACTGAAATTGGTTTAAGTTAGAAATCAAAAAAGTCTTAGTTGCACGAGTTTTTAAATGACAGCACATTTAATTTGACATTAGCTTTGCTCTGGTGAGTAAGCACTTAACTATCTTATATTGCTTTTCTGTACTAAATACAGATCTGCAATTACTTACAAGTCAGAAAAACAGGTTAAATATAGACTTAATTCTATTCAAAAATTGCCCCAATTCTCAAAGTTAAGTTCCTTTGTGTCTATTACTTCCATAGTCAATGTTTGGACTGTACCAGCTAAAATCAAATTAGTAAGCAGTAAAGAGCAGCAAGGCTATCGTCATAGCTGATGATAGGCAGATCAAGGGCAAAACAGAACACTTAACACACAGGACTTCTAAAGGTGGGTGTGACTTGATCATTAAAAGTAAACAGAAATGCAACCTCATTTTTAAAGATTTCAAAACCAAGTGCTTTATATTGCCTAAGTAGCTGGGATGTAACTTTAGAACTGTTTTGCACTGCCTGTGTATATGTGCAGATCTAGATGCAGTTATCAATGTCTGAGACAGCAGTAGCACTAGAAATTTATGTCTACAATATAAATCAATTATCCAATAGATACTTGAATAAATAGCCATACACAAACTGCACTGTCTACTGAAAATAGTTTACTTATTGCAAAATTTATAGCATACTGCAGTCATTTAACATCCACAGATTGCCTTTTAGCTTTGAGAATATATAGAAAAATGTGAACTGAACTATTTTACTGTACTGGAAGAGCGAGCTACCTGTCAGAGAACTTGTGCCCAAAAGAGATCCAGTCTTTCTCTATCAAGACCTAGAGAGTAAAATCAAACAAAATCTCAGGTACAATGTTACTCAACTTTACATCTGTAGTATTAACTATATTTACAACTACAGTATTATAGTATATAATTAAAATAGTATTATTATATTTTACATTTTAATCAAAGTACAGCAGGAGCAACTATTTGTCACTTTGCAGTTCCTTTATTTTCTTGGAAGTCTTTCACAAGAAATTTTCAAAACATTTCTAAAATGAGTAAAAAGTTTAGCAGGTTGACAATCAGATAACTGCTTTTAAGCCAGGCCTGCTTTAAGCATACTAATATTGTATGACTTCACAAACAGATAATCAACCAATTTGCAAAAAGCTTGCAAAGTACAGGAAAAATTTTAGTATTGCATTCCTAAAAAGTCATAGTTTACATAAAACCCCACAATACAATCTTTCTAGCATTTTATAGCACTAATTTCAACATTAGCTTGTTTTATCACTTCCATCACTGTATCAGACACCAAAAGGAGCACAGGACTGCCTGCCCATGGCAGAAGTTTCCCTAGAAATCTAATTGACAGTGAAGACTGAAAAACAAAGATTAAATTACTTCCCTAAGGATTAACACATTCTCACTATTCACAAAAAAATGAATGCTCTTCTAATTCCTCCTGAAGTACATTATTACTTATTCCTAGTACATAAAATTACTTCCATGTATTAGTTCCATGTGTCTTGCAGGAATTCCCATAGCACTTTGTATTGCCACTGCAGAACAGTGTAGATTTTCCTACTCTAAAGACTGGAATAAACACACTGAGATTCTTCTTTTTCTACAGAAAGGAAGAAACTTAGATTGCTTAAATATCTACAGGTCTCTGTCAGTGGGGGAGCTAACATCACTAAAAATTTTTAAAAGACGATTTGGGGACAAGTGATAAAAGCACAGAGCTGCTGTAATTTCATACATCTACGGTCTCACATAAGCACTTTGGAATCACAGGTAGGGGCTTTTTCAGATGCAAAAGGCAATCATTGCAGCATTTTCTGCAGGGTGCCAAAAGCAAGACACTGTTCATATTCTAGTTTTTAAATAAAGGGTTCTTCCCAGTAGCAAAGTATTTCTGAAAGATATATCAGTATACTGCGAATCTTACACTTTAACTACAAAGTCAAGCAACAATGTTTACACTGCTCACTTTCACACTCAAGCATTTTATATCCTTTGTTTACCAAGGAACAACTCAACAATGCCAAGAGCTAGTGCTTACCATGAATCCTTTGATTGTTCTGTAATAGGAATCTAGTAAGAGAGCTCCAAGAGAACACACTTGAGAAGTCCTATCCCAGCCATCTGAGCAGTGCACCAATACGCTTGCGCTCTCAACTGCTATTGCCTGCAAAACAGGTTTTATAGTGACTTTCACAGAAGTCAAAGTTTAATAAATACAAAAGCTACATTTATCCCAAACTCACAGCATAGACCATTTTATTTAAGAAAGCCAGAAATGGGTTTAGTATGAGGAAAGGATTGGATACCACCAAAAAGCTACAATTTCTCTCCGTGGAAGCATAGAATATTCTTTATAAAGAAAAGGAATTCCACTACCCGCTTTGCACAAGGTAATACAAACATCTAGAGTGCTTCCCAGTCTGCTTCTTATCCTGTACAGAACTAAACTTACAAAAATCACTTTCAGTGCATACTAAGAAAGAAGCAGACTATATGCTACAGATCAAACAGGTTAAAAAAATAAACCAACACAAACACACCACTGAAGATACCCATTAGTTCATTATACCACACAAAAGTCAAGGACTTGGAAAAGCTTATTAGCTTCATCTAAGAATTCAAATCCTGTTAGACCAAATATTTTTTGCGGGTCATCTTCAGGAGAATCATCCACTTTTAACTAGAGTTAACTCCCTGTTATTTCACCCAGTAAAAACAAAGAAAGATCCAGGTTTCTTCTTGACCCAGCCCCTCCTGGGTCAAGCCCTTGGCTTCCCGAGTGCCTTGGCAAAGGCAATTGCTCCTCCGAGTTCTTCATGAATAGTCCCATTTCCGTGCCAGATGAAGTCAGCGTAGCTAACGTGGCTTCTCTGCAATTAGTGCCGCAGAAAACTACACTAAATAAGTTGGCTCCATCCACTTCTAACCTGGTTATACCCTTCATAAAGGCCTAACAGAACCAGGAAGCAAAACAATCCCTGTATCTCAATAAGGGGACCAAACAGCTTTCCAAAAAATCCTGAAAAACGAGCTGGCACATTTAACATTCACAGTCATAAAGAAACTTGTAATACTTAAAACAGCATATCACATGTACCAGTGTATACACTGAGCATCTACTTCCAAAAAGTTCAATTACAGAATTTTACACATTATGTAATATTAAGTATAATTTTGCCTGGTAACAAGTCAACTTGCCATCAAGCAAAGAAGCAGCATATAAGTTACCTTGACTAGGAAGACAGCAGCATCCAAGACAGCTTTGATATGACGCAGCCATCCAGAGTTCTCCAAACCAGACAGAAAGTCATTGACAGACAAACCCTTTGTGCCACTGACTGAAAGAAACCAAACCGAGAGAGAAGAATAATTATGGCCTATGCTGTAAGTTGATTAGACGTCTCTGAGGAAATCACCACTCCAACAATTGGGGGTAGGGGTGGCTGTGTCTACCACAAAGCATTCTCCATCCAAAATTCAAGGCAGTAGAACTACAGTAACCATGAAGGACCAGAGTAAGATCTTTGAAAGTTATTCTGTGAAAAAGACGCAAAGTAATGACACTGGTTATGCCCAACAGGGAGCCTTACTAAGGAAGGCAACGCAAATGCCCAAAGCTTACCAGGAATACTTAAAAAAACACAAGCACCAGCAGAAAGTAGATGCATCCAGACAATACAGACAGTTCACAGTAGTCAGACTGCCTGAGTTTCACCACCTTCTCCACTCTGCTTAGGAGAATAAAGTGAATGCAGTGCAAGGATATGGTGATAAACTGAAAACCATTGAGATTTTGCCCACCTCCAGAATGGACATACAACAGTTCTGACTCTGATCTGAACCATTCACCCCTAGTATACTTTCATCACATGAAAATAATGTCAATGTAGAAGGCAGGTGAAGCTGCTTGCAGCAGAACAGCAAGAGGTGTAAAGGCAGATTGAAAGTTTCTCATACTGACACAGCAATTCACAAAGTAGACACATAACCCCATTCTTGCATGATTTTTGAGTAGCAACTCACACAATTATATTCCTGTCCAAATATGACAAACGTATGGTGATAAATAAGTATTTGTTGGCTGATAGAGCTTCGGCTATGTGTGATTTGAAGAGACAATACCTGAGGTTACCATCTACAAAAATACTTGCCCTGTCACAGCAGAAGCCTACTTTCCACAAAGCTAATGGGCCCCAAACAAAAATAAGAAGGCTCTGTAGCTGAAGGCTCTCAATCTTTATCTCCAAGTATAGGAGGAAGTGAGTCAATAGGGAAAGTAGAGAACAAAATTCACCAAGTCATTCTGTGATGCAATTTCATGTTCAGTCAAGTCCCCTAACATAATGAAGGTTATAAACTCTTAAACCACTGTTTGATGAAGCTTTCCTGCATCTGCACTTCATGTTTCTCACCTTTCAGCCACAGTTTTGTTATACCCTGCCACTGCTCAGCAAGACATAATGCCAATGGCTGCTGAATGCTGTAACAGAGGCTCCCAAATAAGTATTACAGCTTCTTTTCTGAAGCCTACTGACCTTTGTCAGGCAGAAGTTCTAAGAGTGAGGAGAACCTGCAGACTGAAGCACAGTGGACTGGGAGCAGAGGCTGTTTTTAAACAAAACCAAACAACAAGGAAAATCTTTACTTTCAAGGTGACAGCACTGGAATAGGCTGCCCAGAGAGGCTGAAGAGTCTCCTTCTCCAGAGACATTAAAAAAGCCATTTGGTGCAACTTGCTCTAGGTGAACCTGTTTTAGCAGGGGGGTTGGACTGGATGATCCCCAGAGGTCCGTGCAACCCCTAACATTCCATAACTCTATGAACTCCACTCCCTAAACACACACACTCCACACGACTAAGGATTTTTTTTTTTTTTTGCAGTTTAACACACTTCCATCAAAGTATCACAAAGATCACAGTGGCTATTATTGAGCCTTTTCCTCAAATATTTCCTGCAGAAATGTTATTTTTTGACAAACATAAAACCTTTCTGCTTATCAAAGCTCAATCTTTTCTGAAATACAATACTGTATTTCTGAATGGATAGAACCTGGGCTTTATATTTAATACCACAGCCACAAATGTAGCCTATGTGAAGATTCTTCAGTTAGTGTTGTATAGATGGGCAGTCTGTCCATCAGCAGAACAGAATCATCATGTCCACACCAAAGAAAACTATTTCAGAAGTTTTTAAATTACTTGAATGCAGTGAAGTAAAACCAGCTGAATTGGAGGTGAAGAATAGACTATAAATTTGCCTAGAATGCTCCACTGTGTAGTGCTGCTACAGAACAGTGTTGGGAAGGATTGTTTCTGTCTGCTTGCAAATGGAATCAAAGATTCTGAAGATTCTTCCTGTCCACCAGAAAGATGGACAAAGAGCCTAGGAGCAGGACACACGCTGCAAAATGAATCACAGTTGTTATAAATAGAACGGAGGACAGCCCTAGTTACAATGGCTCTTGAAAGAATAGGGTCATTGGTATCACATTCCTGATTTGAGAACATTCAGTTCAGCACATCCAGTGGAAGCTGGTACACAGAATTTAAATGGCATTCTCCTCATTTTAAGCTATGAACCATTTTCATAGCAATTTCTTCCTGATCATCCCACTGATGGCACGTTTCTACAGGTGTCTGAAGAGTAAATTACTGCATACCTCCCTAAATTTTAAGGGCTAAATTTTAAGGGCTTCTTCTATCCTTAAAAATACTTCTGGACTGACATTCAGCAAAACTCTAGTGAATTATACAGACTGAACAGTGGTAGAACGACTATGTTCATGTACCCCAAAACCTGACCTAGAAAGCAACTACAGACATCAGTCATCATTCTGTTTTGATCAGGTTTAAATAAATAAAACCTCCATACAAAGTAAAATATACTCCCCATCTGTAATGAAAGCTACAGAAAGGTATTTGGTAATTAGTCTTGGTAGGATGCCAAGTCAAATGGAAGGAATACAAAGTTTGTGAATTTTAACTGTGTGATGCACAAAAATCACACATTTATTACACAGGAGCAGGCCTCTAAATTAGATCTTGATATTTTTTTTATCTAGGTTTTCTGGAACTGATGGAGATATTGGCAAAAGAAAGAGGGATTATCCCAAACTTAAAACTCTCTCTTTGTGCCTCTCCATTTTCATCACGTGGCAAGCTGCACTATGGTGAAGAGGTTCACTTATCCCCATCCGCCTCTCTACAACACTCTAAGATGTACCTTCAAGCACCAAAGTGGCTCACCAGGCCAAAAAGCTCAAGTTTTGTACACACCACATGCTTTCTGTGAATTCTGTGTAACCAAGTACTCCTGGAAAAAACAGTATTCTACATATGAAAGTGTATGTACCCACACTGTTCTGTGCATTCCTATTACACGAGCATATGCAAGCATGTATACTTGGAAAACACAGAAGTCTTTCCCACAAGCCAGTGACATTTTAATCATGTTCACCAAAGACTTGAATGCCATTCAATTATCTTCAAAATAACTCCATTCATTGGGTTAACAGTTGAAAGGTAAAAGTTTAAAGGTAATTCATTACCATAGAGCACAGCAAACTGTTACTGAACAGAGCTGAGATAAAATACAGAAATATCAACAATGCCTGTATGCTATTATTAAAGACTTCAGAAAAATATTTATCCTATTTTCATATACACTGTTATAGTACAGTTAGAACATACCTTCCAGAAGTTTTTGTAAGCTGGACCTCATTACATGAATATTTTCAATGCCAACAAACTGGAATCTAATGTTAGAGTAGTTGTCTTCATTCTCATAGCCCTTCCCAGCAGCTCTGTTTGCCATTGCATTAAGCTTAAAAAAAGCAAAACAAAAATAGTGAAAACCAGTACTCAAAGTCTCAAATTAAGAAGTGAAAGTCAAGCATTTTCAAAGGAATACACTGGCAAAAAACACAGAAGAGCACATACTATAAAGAGATTCTAATAAGTTTGTGGCACATGATCTTGAAAGCATTCAAGCGTAAGAAACACCTGGTACCTTAAAAAAAATTTAGAGATGATGTATCTGAATAATGCATTTAATAACTTAATTACTTATTCTCTCCATATTCCTACCAACAAACTTTATTTCAAGTGTTTTGAGCAAAGACACTACAAAGAAATTAACCTGAAAAGGAAAGAGTAAGACCCAGACTTAACCATACCTACACTTTCCAGGCATCCTAAAAATGACAACTTTAGGGGTAAGAAGCTAATAAATTGCTGCAGCTATAAAAGTTACAGCTATGAAAACCCTACAGCTGGCTCACTTTCAGTCCATCAGATCAATCTACTGCTGAACCCTGATCAAAATAAGGGAAACATTTACATTTTACATCTTTGTTTTCCAGCTTCTGTGTTCAGAGGTTGGAATGAAATGAATAGCAGTTTAAATACAAATGGTCTAAAGAGCGAGAGTTACCACACACATTTCATCACAGGTCAAAAACCTAACATAATTCAATTTAATTAGACAGTGATGAAGTATGATCTCAGAATGCCCATATTCAACTCCATTTCTTTTTTTCAGAATTACACTGTATCCCTGTACTCTAATGTTCAGGACGAGAGGCTAGACTGTAGAACCTCAAGTACACACCTTTGGCCTGGTGTCCATGACATACATGTAGCGATTTGAAGGGTTTGCTTTACTGATGGCTTGCAACATGTGCTCATCCTCCAGGCACCTGGCACTGAAACCTGAGAGAGGTTGACTGCATCTGCAAATTGCAGCCTATCATAGAAAACAAAGAACAAGTTAGCTTCAGTTTAATACCTGTAGTTGAAGTGTTCTGCATAATTCTAAAGACACACTGAAATAAATTGTTTTATTCAGCAGATAATAACACTAAACCAAAAACAAGTTTAGGTGTTCAACTCTCTAAGCACAGTGCTTGCGGATCTTCAAACACAGCACCTACAACTCAAATCTAAAGGTTTATCAAAACATTTTTTCAGGCTCATCTACATGGGCAAGACACCAGTTTACATAATGGACATTCCCCAAGTACAAAAATTCGAAAAATGTATAGGCTGGAAAAAAATACACCATAGTGAAGCAAGTTACACTCCTGGTATGAAATGAATTATGGTCGGGATTACGTACGACTGCAAGTACGATTTTATTATTGCAAGTACAGCATGTTATTGTCTGATGTAACTTTCATCATATCTTTTTCAATATTTTGTATTTCAGAAGGTATCAGGTGTATCTCCCAAATATTAATTATTTTCAAACACATCTACTAGCTTAACACTCCTCCTTCAGCTCAAAGTGACAATCCTTCTTTCCCTTTGAAGATACTCTCTAGCCAAGACATGCAGATGCTGCATCACACCACTCTCTACCAAACCCTAGAAAATCTTATTTCTCATCCTCTAGGTCTTTTTACCTTGCAAACTCCTCTCTGAAGAACCAGCTCCATTATTTTGGTGGGTTTTTTAACCCTCATTCTGATTTTAATATTTTATTCTAGGTACACCAAGGAAGACATATCACTTGACAAAAAGCTACCTTCAGTTATCTTACGATCACTTTCTGAAAGCTTTAAGAGATTCAACTGATTGCCATTCAGTTACTTAAGGATTTCTTTTAAAGTGGCTTAGCTTAATTCAGCATCCTGTTAGATACCACTGGTGTCAGCTGTATTTAAGGTTATCATGAGTTATGCCACTCTCACACAAGTCACTGTACTTATCTCCCTGAACTACTGCCAAGTGCTGAGAAGTAACTTTCAGTACATTTGCATTAAGAGAAAGACACATTATACCTCTTTTTTTTTATGATAATATGACAACACTGGGAATCTTCCTTTGCTTCTGAACTTGGAGCTACCAACAATTATGGGTTTGCTTGCAGTTCTGGGAACATAAAGTTCCCTAGGATAGGTTTCACAAATCTGAAAGACAGGTATGCAAAAGTTACTTTACATACAAGACAAAACGTATAATAGTTCTATTGCATCAAATTTGAGAGATGTTAAGTGAAATAAGAGAAAGTGTAAATGCTAACATGTTTCTCTATATCCATGTAAATAGCTTAGAAGAGAGGACAAGCCATGGGTGAGGAAGTACAAACTGCTATCCAAGTTACAGAACCAAGTGCTGCTGGAAAGCACTGCCATACTGGTGTTCACTTCCCAGGAATGTGACTCTGCAGTAGAAACGCTAAGAATAGGTTTCAAACACAATATTGAAATTATTTCCCTCATTTTTTGTATTTGTAGACTTCAAAGTAAGATGAAATCTCATCTATGAACCAGCTGCACCACCACAGCCAACACTGCAATTGCTGAAGTAGAATCCTTTCAAGCTAAGGGATGTAATAGAGCTGCAGAGCACCAGACTTGCTGGGGCTGGGTTTCAGACAGGTAAGTATAGTCTGGAAACAATCCCAAAGAACACAATCTCTCAATGAGGCCTTGGAAAAAAATCAATCAGAAAAGTGAGAGTTTGCACACTGATTAGTTAACTCTCTCCATCTGCAAGTTTTCACTTGGCTTGCAACATAAGCAATTTCAAAGTATTAGGCTGTTTTCTATATGACTAGAGTCAGAGAATAAAGCAGAAACAGATGCAGAGCAAAGCAAGTTTCCATTACAACACTTACCTTATAATCACGATTTGCATCAGACAACTGCCAGTAATCATTTGGCACTCCCATTCTCTTATATTCTTCTGCTAGATCAATAAGCTGCCAACCTTTGACTTGCTCAGATTCATTTTGTTTTGGATTATAGGAGAATGCATACAGCTCTTCGTATTTTGCTAAAAGGTAAAATGACTATGTCATGAGTTGGCCCAAAAAAATTCTGGGAGAAGAAAGATAGCATAGTTGACAAGTCTTCAAATTGCCCAAATGGCAGAGAAAGTTTCAGGCTTCCAGATTCTGAGAAGCAAGACTAAATAGATACCGGACACTCTTGAAATATTTATTCTGCAACTATCATACAACTCACTGACACAACTATACATATTTAAAGGCAGGTTAAGAGACCTTTCCTGAGGGTGCTTGAACTATCTCAGCAGAGACATTTTGAAAGGCACAAGGGCAAAGCAGAAGTCACAAAATGAAGACTGACAAAATTAAACAAGATAAACCACAGAATTTTTAAAAGACTTCACAAGAACTAAAAGAACAAACAGTTTTTGGAGGTAAGAAGAGAATTTTCTACCTCTGACCTTTAAAAGGAGTAAGTTAAGTTTCCTTTAGAGTAAAAAAAAAAAGCTTTCAAAATATTTTCTGTTTTTCTTAATACTCTCTTCACAAATCACAGATGACATTTTACATTGTTCTAAACACAAATCAGAAAATGAAGAGACCACACTAGGCGACAGAAGTCTCTTGTAAAGCTGAATTGGCAGTATTATCTTAACATCAAAACTTCAGCTTTATTCTTAAAACTGCATGAAATCAGTAACAAAACATTACTAAGCAAGTAGAAACTTATCTACAGATCACACAAATTAAGAGAGACCATACACACTTATTTTCATAGTTTCATGGATAATACTAGAAATGAATACACCCCAAGAACCTGACATTCTGTTAGCAAATATCGGTGACCTACAAGAGCTAGACAATACCTCCTGAATCTGTATGCAGATTAACATTTCATCATTGAAACTGTTTTTAAATGTGCTTTATGTAAAAGTCTTCAGTGGATTTGATATATAAAAAAAACAAAAAGCCATAGATTTCACCACCTTGTGATCTGGGCACATGCTGCAAAAATCTTTTACAGTTAGTTTTACCTGCTCTTGACAGCTGAAGCAAAGAGTTATAAATGTCATGACAATCTCTCTCTCTGGGAACAACAAAGTGAACTATCCTGAAGTTCTTGCACTGGATGACAAGGGGGCAGCCAGAAGTAGTCAAGGGAAGTTTTTCCACTGCAGCAATGTGATGATGTAGTATCTGTGGCATACAAGAACTCACAGCATAAGCACAGTGATGAAAAATGAGAACAGCATACTATTCACAAGAGCAGATATAAAACACATGGAGTGATGCTGAATACGTATTTTGACTAATTTTATCAATCATTCCATTATTAAAAACAAGTAAATTTAGAAGACATCCAAGACGACTGCCATTTTGGTCAGGATTTTTTGTCAAAATTTAATTATTCTTTTCCCTCCTATGTTTGTAGGGAATAATAAATATCCTTCTAAATGCAAAAGTGAGACTTAAAATTCCACTGTGATTGTTCGGTCCTCTTCTGTAATTTTGCTAACTGACAAGCACACATCAATCTAATTGGGTAGGGTTCAAAAATGTTATCTTTATTCTTAAATGGTCTACAGAAACATACTGCAGAATTTTCAGGCAAAATAAAGCAAGTCAGGGAAAGCAACTCAAAGGCTAGAAGATACTGGAGATGCAGAAGATTTCACAATTCCAGTATTTAACATCTACAGAATGAACAGAAAAGATAAGAAAAAACACCTCCTGTATTTCCCATTGTGTTATTCAGACATGACAGTCTCTCAGCTAAACTCCTTTGAGCTGCTTTAACAGAAGACTGTTACTGTAATGAAAATACAACAGCCCGCCACAGATTTAACTCTGTGGCAAATCCACATGAAATTTAGGAAAATACACGGGCAAGTAACAGCTGTTCAACCATGGGAAGAAAGCCATAGATAGATTACCTCAACCAAACAAGATGGTCATGATAGCATTTCAGTTACCTCATTGAAGCAATCATCTCAAATATTGATTGGAACTTGACAGTCAGCTGATAACGATGCTGCCAAATATGTCTTTACATAGCAACTGTACCTTGTATACATTACCCTAATTATGCTTGCTACTTGCATTATCATCACAGAAATGCAGTACTTAGAATAGAGGTTCAATTTCCCCAAAATGAAACGTTTTACCATAGTGCACAGGGAGACAATATTTCTGATTCATTTTCTCCCCAATACCTCATTTTGACTGGAAGGATGACAGTTTGGTTTGAACAAAACTGTACATTGTCACAGAATCACAGAATGATTTGGGTTGGAAGGGACCTCTGAAGGCCATCTAGTCCAACCCCCCTGCAGTAAGCAGGGACATCCCTAACTAGATCGGGTTGCTCAGAGCTCCATCAAGCCTGACCTTGAATGTCTCCAGGGATGGGGCCCCCACCACCACGCTGGGCAGCCTACTTCCCTCATAGTAGAGAATTTCTTCTTAATATCTAATCTAAATCCATCCTGCCCTAGTTTAAAACCATTATCCCTCACCCTATCGCTGCACACCCCTGTATATAGTCCTTTCCCAGCTTTCCTGTGGGCCCCAAGTATTCATTGTATCCAAGAACAAATCACAGAAAAGTAACTTTTCTTGAAAGCACCATGAGGCATCTAGTGAGATAACCAGGCTACAGGATTAATGCTTATCCAGCAAAAGACACCTACAGAAAAAAAAAAATTAACCACACACAAGGAAATGAAAACTCATCCTGGAGGATGGCAGACTTCAGGCACTGAACTCAGACAGACAGCTGGGCTGCACTGAAGGCCAGAACTTGATGTCTAGATGTGTGCCACCAGGGCTCTAAGCAGAAAAGCTAACGGGAATTATGGTACCAGCCAGCTTGGATTGTACAACTTTGTTAGTGGTCACCAAGAAGCTGCAGCCCATTCTGAATCCTTTTACACCAGGAGATGAGCAGTTGGGAAGAAGCAGCTGCTTACTCATGTTTAGTTGTTAACTGTGTAGCTGCTTACCCTAAAAAAGTGCATGTAATCTTCCATATTTCAAAGTCTAGAGCTCTGGAATTTGCCATCTTATTTAACCTAGGCAGGATCTAAATACAAAGTAAGTTAATATAGCTTAAACATCAGGTTTAAAATTTCTATCTAGCAGTCTCCCATGCTGCCTATGAACTGCAGTACAATTCAGTCCTTTGAAGAAAACTACCACAAATTCAGTCAGGAGTACAAGTGAAGGCTATAGAAGAAATGACAGCAGCTTCAAGAGAAGAGAACATTTTTGACACTACCCAATTTCAACTGCAGCATTGCCATGCAACAGTTCAGTCTGCAAATCATTCACTTATTATGATACCATTGGCAAGAAGAGCATGGGGAAATAACTTACACCTTAAGATGAACACTTCAGTAAACAAATTCAACCTTACATGAGGAAGGACAATGCATCTGAAGAACCCATGGCTTTGAGCCACAAACTCTTGTTATCTTACCCAGGTCTCTCTCTGGCTTGAATCGATGAATAACAGATGAGTTGCTGTAAGGTAGAGAGTTCCTGTCAGTGACTTATTGCTCGTGCTGAACCTATCCAGTAACTTCACTTGTTCTACCTGTAACAAAAAAAAGGGGAGGGGAAACAATTTTTAATGACTTACATTTTTTTCAGAATGCAGAACCCTAGCTTTGAAAAAGCTTTGCCAGCTTGTGCAGTGATTTTGAAATTGGTAGAAACCACACGTTCAGGCCAAACCATGAAGAACACACAAGTGGTCACACAAGCTTTGACAAGACTGACTACTCTAAACACCCCATTTCAATACAAAAGTGCATAATGAATGCACCGTGCTAGCCTCATCAGAATACTTACTCCAGATAGAAAAGTACTATGGTTATTTACTACTAAAGGAGACCAGGGTATCAAGTTTTTTAAAAAATAATTCTTAATTATTAATTACTAAGCTTTTAGGCTGCTTCCCCAAAACAGAGCACACACTAACCATTTCCTGTTACTGAGATGCCAGATGAATTAACAGCTGACGTCAGCACCTTGCCTCCTTGGCTGTCTGCAGGCTCAAAGCCATAAAGATTATGTCCTCCCAACTTCAATTTTGGTTATCTACTGTATTTTATACCACCCCCAACTTTAAAAATTCAGTCATAATAATCTTGCCTCATAGTCAAAGTAAATTCAAATGAAATGCAAACATTACACTAATAATTATAAACATCTCCTAGAAATTCAAGGACTGTGCTGGTATTTGAAGCAGATATTTCAAGCCTGAATCTTGCAAGGCCAAATTTCTCCTCCTGGTATTCATTCCTTCAACATTGTTATCTCAATCCTATGGAAAGCATTTAAAAAGAAAGTGATTTCTAGATAGCCTGCATTTTACCTACTGCTCATAACTTCATGGGCTCCACAGTTTGTTTTATTTGAAGCAAATGTTACGCGACTCTTTGGTGTGCAACAACAGGAAAAGAGTGTGATTTGAACGGCTTCTCTTCATGCAGGCCTCTGATTCTTGGCAGCACTGTCTCCTTAATGCCAAGTTAAAGCTTTTATGCTTGAGGCTTGCTGCTACTGCCATTAAATGCATGGCAGAACTCCAAAAATTTCCACACCAGCAAGACTAGCACTCAGATGAGGGGACCAGAAGAGCCTGCATCTGCCGTGGTGAAGTTAAGCCATTTTTAATTCATATGTACAAATTTATTTATCTACTAAAAAAAACCCAAAGTCTTTTCAATTCAGGTATTTCTTATAATCTAGCAAAGCTTCATTTTGTTTTTGAAAGTTAGAAAAGCAATGCATGCAAAACAAAACACAGGGAATACAAATATCTACTAAAAGCCAGCACTGCTATGTCATTCTACATTTCAGGTTAGAAAGTAAAAAAACACTGGAAGCCACATGCATCAGTACCTCAAAATACATTATGCCGTGGAACCAGCAAGGTATCAGTGCTCAGATACAGAATAACACAGATCAATACAGCACAGCCAGAACACAGAATTCATTTTGGGCAGTTCTGCAGCAGTAACTGCTCAGGTACCTGGCACTGCAGCTCCTCAGCCAATTGGGAAGTGCACAGACTGCTCTGGTTATGTCCAAGAAACACAACCCACAATACCCCAGCAGGAGAAGCTCCATTCTCCTCCAGCTAACACGGCAGCTGTTCTCAAAGCTGGACTTCTATGTTGGATGAGGACAAGCACTAGTGCTCCAGCTTCCTCGTACACAGGTAAGACCTTCAAGAATTCCAAAAGCTAAGTTCTAGATATACTTCTCTTAAAGACATTCAGATGGTCTCCATGGATGACGTGTTCATGTAAACGTCACCCAATTGTAAAACTTGGCAAATCCTTAGTTATGAAAAACAAGTCAGATTATCAGCTTTGAAAATATGTTCACAAGATTAAGAGATTGAGTTTTAGCACATCTGTAAACAAGAGATCATTTAAGTAGTCAGAAGTGATATTCTGACAGTAGCTAGCACTAACAAATTAGCACAGCTTTAAACCTTTAAGAATTTGAATAGCAACCTCAATAATATAGAGCATTTACAATGAAAGAGTCACCAGACATTTTGCCAGGACTAAGAGTTAAAGGCAAAAAAAGAAATAAGTATTTCAATACAGGAGACAAGGTAGAACAGAGAAGGCTGAAACAATATTTCTGAAGTCCTGCATTATAAAAGCTAAAGGATTAAATTAGAAAAATTAAACCAAGACAAAAACAATTACAGTATATCATTCCAAGATTTGTTTATTACAGCTTTGTATGATTCACTGGAATTAAAAGAAGTTTTCCTTTTTCCCAGTTAAGGCTCATTCTTGCAAACATAAGCTTCAGATTTAGCAGTCCAGCTAACCAACAACTTTCCACCTCCAACAAAAAGCTCATCAGTATTTTCACTAAACCGGATTTGATTTCAAATATGCAAACAAATATGACTGAAGGAATTCCAGCCTTTTCTACTACATATTGCTTTAAAATATTTTTAAGGACACTAGTTCTAAAGCTTTATTGCAAAACCACAATATTCTTATTTGTAATTTCCCCATAACCACCACTTGCAACATACTGTGAGCTGTTTTTCATTATTTGTTGCTACTTAAGTATATATTGTTACACGTTGACCTTGATTCTTCATTCAACACAAACCTGTTGACAGTTTAATTTCACAAAAGGCTAAAACTTTATTTCAGGCAGCTGTGGTGACAGTTCTAAGACAACATTAATTTCAACATTTCCAGCAAAGTGAAGTTTGAGGAGGAATAAAACCTATTTCACCACCACCTTCTACAGATGACAGTTTCGCTGCACAAGTGTAAATTTGTACAGGGCTGCACTGTTATATCAAGTCTATTTCACGAGTACTTTAATGAAAGAAAAAAAATTGTTGTTAGATTTTAAGAAGTAGACATGTCTCAGAACTTTTTATAACCAAAAACTTGTGCTATTTCTACCCATGAAATTGATAATTTTTAGAATGGACAAGTTGTTCCAGTGCAAACTATAGAAATAATTGCTTCAAGTAGTTAAGTCTTGTATCTTATACGTTGTGTTCAGAGCTTGTCTCTCTCCAATTCTGTCGCTTCATGAAGCATTTTTTTCCCCAGCAGAGGCCCAAAAACATACAGCAACACAACCACTTGCATATGCAAATAAATCAGTGACCTGTACCCTTTTGAGTCTCCATTTCAGGTTTGAAATTTAAACAGCTACTCAGATCATCAAGGGGCTTTGGCTTTAGTCTAGTTTTTATTTTAGAATTAGCTACTGACTGTAACAAAACCATATTAAGTTCCCAAACAAGGAGTTTCAGGTTTACAAGTGAACAGGCTGATAAAGAAACCTGATAACCAATCTGTCAGGTTGGCACAAGACTATTCCATCCAGTAAGTGTCACTAACAGCAGCTTCATCAGAGACCTTCCTCCTTTTTCATATACACACGAACAAATATACATGTAAACTAAAACTAGTGATACACATTTTATATGAAGTTGATATAAGCTATGACTCAAAAAATTAAAAGCCTGTTCCTTTATATAATTACTGGCTATACGCCTACTATTTGGAGCTGCAATATAACCACTCCCTTTCTCCACACGTCTATAAACCTAGTTTAGAGTCACACTGCCAGGTCAGGGAACTAATCGCTTGACAATTTCCAGGACCCAGCAGCGACAGGCAGCCTTTTCAGCAGCCCTTGCAGTCAGGGCTCATGAGCAAGATGAGGAAAATACTGTTTGAAATTTAACTCTAAAAAATCTGTAACTTCGAAACTTGTTTTAAAATTGTTTACAAAAAGAGAACATATCTTTTTTTCCTCATCTTCATTATAGCATAAAGAAAAGCTAACAAACTAAAATTCTAAATAAAACTAAAATCAGAGAAGTCTGAAATGTCAGCTGCAGCTAATAGCTTAGGACACTGAACATGCACCGATAGCTTGCGTTCCTAATAGCACACACAACAGTCTTTAAAAGGAAGGGGGAAAAAAGTTTTGTTTTCATAACAGAATTGCCTCCAAATCTCGAAAAAGCTGCACGGAACCACATCCCGGCGACAAAACCCAAGAGCAAGCCTCTCCC